GAGTTATCTGTGGCACTTGTATATCTTTAAAACGCCACCATATCCACCCAAAACATCCAAAAGGCATATATATATATATATATATATATATATAGTCTTCATATATAGTTGGACTGGCTATATGAAGACATAACAGATTCCACCTGCACGGAGTTATCTGTGGCACTTGCTGAAAAATTAGAGTAATGTCTTAGCTTACAAGGGGCAAGGCAAACTTTTCAAATGAAAATTTTTTAATCTACTTGAAATTACATATTCCCTCCATACGCATAAATGAATCTAGTAGATAAAGGGATGATTCTATAGATGCCAGTGAAACTTGGAATTCAGTTTAGTTATCTTCTGAATAGTTATCGTCATAGGGAACTGCAGAAGGTATTACTTAAATTGTTCTGATAAAATCATGTTTTATCTTGGGAGAGTTAAGAATGCTATTCTTATATTAAAATAAGTGGTGGTAGAGAAAGCAGGGAAGATAATCAGTAAATTTGTATGGGTTTAGTAAATTTTTTGCATTTACCCAAAGTTCTATTTAAGTCTACTTTCTTTATATAAATGCACAGTTTCTTAGAAGAATTTTCAAGAAAGGGAGAGGAAAGCTAATGAGTGCTTCAAAGGTAATAAAAATATAGCTTTTCAGGAAAAATGATACTAGGCTTAGTACTGCTTAAAGTTTTTATTCAGGATTGAATGAATAAAAGGCACACTTATTAAATATTTAATATCACCAAGTTGGGTGGAGTGATTCAAACCTTGAAAAACAGGCTTAGAATATTTTATGAATATGACAGGTTGGAGTAGCTTGATGAAAACAGGATGAAGTTGTTATTATCACCACTTTGGATGGATAGTGTCATGTTGACTTATCTATGAGGAACTTGGGGAGCTTTCACATACTTATTTTCAAAACTACTTTGTGCTGCAGGAAACCGATTTTATCTGTTCTACAGGTAGTGCAATTAGAGCATGAAGACATTGTGACTCATTTAAGGTTGTAGGCTGGGCACTGTGGCTCACACCTATAATGCCAGCAGTTTAGGAGGCTGAGGTGGGTGGATCATCTGAGGTCAGGAGTTTGAGACCAACCTGGTCAACATGGTGAAACCCCATCTCCACTAAAAATACAAAAAATTAGCCAGGCGTGGTGGTGGGCACCTGTAATCCCAGCTATTTAGGAGGCTGAGGCAGGAGAATCACTTGAACCAGGTAGGAAGAGTTTGCAGTGAGCTGAGATTGCACCATCACACTCCAGCCTGGGCAACAAGAGCAAAACTCTGTCTCAAAAATAAAAAGAAAAAAAGGTTGTAGTTAGTGAAAGATACAAACTGAACATAGGCTCTTCAACCCTCAGGTCCAGATGTCTGTTCCCTGCAGTAGTGTTCTCAAACTGGTGTTCTCATCAGGATCACCTGGAAGGCTTATGATAACAGACTGCTGGACACTAGCCCTAGAGTTTCTGATTTTAATAAGTCTGGGATGGTCTTGAGAATTTGCCTTTCTAATAGGTTCCCCAGATGATACTGATGCTCCTGTTCAAGGAGCACACATTGAGAGCCTCTGCTCTAGACCAGTGGCACACCACTCTCTTCAAGTTAAGGCAACATGTAAAATGATAATTTGTGTATGATACCCTGGAGTAAACTACAGACCCCATTCTTGGCTTGAGGTAAATAGCCCAAAACAATAGACCTTATGACTGAGGAATCAGTATTAGTCCATGGGGGATCCTCAGCAGCAGAAGAAAAATAGGACAATTCACAGAGCATTTATTAGAGCTAAATAGATTTAAAGGACTCTCCTTTATTCTGAAATGATAATCTTCCTAATACTTTGGTGTTAAAATGCCATTTCTTTCACAAAAGGATTATGATCACAAATGTTTTACTTAATATCAAGTCTTATTTGGAAATCTTAGAAAATGACAACCTCAAAAAAAAAAAAAACTAGAAAAAAAAAAATCTGAGGTTGATCAAGTT